CATTTAGTAAATTCACCACAGCTGGAGTTCACATGTTGCTTTGTGTTGGAGGATCCAAGGTTCTCTACCCCCATTCAATTTATTTGAACATTAAAACAATAGAATTATTCAAACTTCCAACAGTCCCTCTTATGACTCATAAACCTAGACTGGCTTCATTTGTCACTAGAAAGATAACTTTGTGCAGTTTAATAAATATAATCAGTGTGATTTTGTAAAACATGATGTTTATACACTAAAGACCTTTGTCTTTAGAGAGAACATACCTCCATCAAGGTGGTCCAACGCTCTAAACACTCTTCCAATCTGCTTCTGGTGGAATTGCATCAAAATACACAAAAGTATAAAGGAATCCTTAGATCAGATTAACATTCCTGGATCAGCACCTGGATCCAGATCTACACTAATAAAATCACTTGTTCCTTGGTCCACTAGTCTAGGATTTTAAATGGACCAGGTTTATTAAACCTTCTACATGCAAGAAATCAAATACATTTGAATCCCGTTTTAACAGCATAATTATTAGAGCGATCCTCCACTGAAGAAATTCTTAGTCGACTAGCACGTTACAATTTTGACTACTGGATTGGTTGATTTAGTCGAGAGATCTGTAAAACTGAGTTTGTCCACAAAGAATCACACAAAAGCACCTCTTTAAATATTGTGTTCACCAGAGATGTGCTCATGACTTTCTAGGAAATAAGTCATTCAGCATGAAAAAAACATGACAAAATAAATCTTTGTCAACTAATTTTCAAAGACACAACACCTTTGTGAAATAACATGATTTGTTTCTCTGACAGCACAGGATACTTACTACTCAATTTAAAAATGAAAAAAAAACCTTAAAAATAAAGCACTTTATTCATAGCCAATGAAATGGAATCACAAATTGGGTAAACTCAATGCACAAAGTAGCAAAGCCATAACTTGTATGTGAAGTGTCCAGATCAGGGTCTCCATCAGAGTGAAGGGTTCTGCTCTACTGGAGTTGTGTGGGCTGGTCATGGAGCTGCAGGTCAGTGGTCCTCCTGACGTGTCTTCCTGTGGACACTGAGACCGTCCTCATGCTGCTGGCCTCTGCGTTGTCTTCAGACCATCACGTGACTGAAGCATGACGCCTGCCAGCAACAACCTCCTCTCTTCTGATGAACTCTCATACTATGGGGAGAGTCTGGTGATTTCAGGATCATGTCATTATACAGGAGCATCAAGTCACTCAGGTAATCTGTAAAAACATGGCAGATTCACTGTGGCTTCATTCTGTCATGTTTTATCAGCACCAACCACGTACACCTGCAGTTGGAAGAAGCAGACGCATGTAACAGGGTGTTTGGTGATCACAGGTCTAATATCAAGGTGATGACAAGAGGAAAACAGCTGCACCAAACACTGGAGGACACTTTTAAAGAGAGACAACGACAAAGACAACACGATTTGAGAGGGTTTGTTATGTCATAACTTTGTAATAAATAGAATAATAAAACATTAAGGAACAGCTTAGATGCAAGCAATTATTCTCTTAAGGCAAGGCGGAGCTAACTGTCAAACATACATTGGATTGATTTTAATAGCTTACTTGCAGTGTTCACTGTGCAGCTGTATTATCTGGGACAATAGAAGTATTGTGTCGGTCAGTATGAAATGACTTGGATCAGGGTTAAAGAGAGAGGATGGTCTTTTCTCAAGACCCCCAAAGATATTAAAAAGCCACAAAAAAGTGCATTTTGCATAATATGTCACCTTTATAGTATTTTGTGGTTTATGTTACCACAAATTCAATTTATTAGCACAAAACTTTGAACAAACAAGTAAGCCTGGACCTTTCAGGGAGTTCAGCAGCTCCAGGGCAGCTGCCCGCTTTGCCCGGTGGGTAATGTAGCATTGGTTCAAATAACTAAGTACAGTTAAGTTCAGGCAAAAAACCCACTTATTTAGGTTAAGGAGAACCGTCAAGAACATTAGGTTTAAGCTACAAAATCACAACAACACTTTGGGACAAGAACTGTCTCGTGGTTGCAAGTCAAATGGCTAAATAGATAACCCACATGGCAAACACAAGAGGTTGAATGTTGCTGAATCCATATTTCTCTTTACAAAAACTGTAAATGAACTGAACTGGAAGACCAACATCAACGCTGAGTACAAGAAGGGGATGAGTCGACTCTTTTTCTTGAGGAACTTCCATCCTTCAACGTGTGCAGCAAGATGTTGGAGATGTTCTACCAGTCTGTTGTGGCCAGTGCACTGTAGTTCGCCGTAGTCTGCTGGAGGAGCAGCATTGGAGCCGGAGACACCAACAGACTCAACAAACTTGTTAAGAAGGCCGGCTCCATCATTGGCTGCAAACAAGACTATCTGGAACAGGTGGTGGAGACGAGGACTCTGAAGAAACTATTATCCATATTGGATAACCCGGACCACCCTCTCCACCACCTACTGCAGGGACAGCAGAGCACTTTCTCCAACAGACTTATCCAGCTCCGCTGTCACAAGGACCGATACAGGAGAACATTCCTGCCCTCTGCTATTAGACTCTAGAATAAATCACCTCTGGCCAAATCAAACACAAGACTATAACACTGCTAACTGTTGTTGTTTGCTGTTGGTGATCCTTACACTACTGTTTTTTACCTAGTTGGTTAACTTATACCATTCTATTTTATTGCATATACTCTGCATTTTTTATTAGGGCCTGAGCACCGAGGTAGTCGGAGCGGAGGACCTATTGTTTTTCGAATGTTTTTTCTTATTCTTATTATTATTTTTGGTGTTTCGCCGCAAAAAGGAGGTGCTTGGCATACTGGGAATTTTGTGAAATTTGTCACGCAAGCCAGAATTTGCGAAAATTGCAGTCTGATTGGGGTGTCCAACTGCGGTAGGAAATATTGGCTCGATAGCGCCCCCTATTGAGTAGCCCCAACATTGGGTTTCACCTAGCTGTATGAAATTTGGTAGGTATGTGGAATGTGATGAGACGCACAAAAAATCCTCTTGGAGTTTTTCATTAAACCAAACAGGATGTCGGCCATTTTGACTTTTATGACGTTTTTTGACCATTTCAAGGCGTCATACTTTAACAAACTCCTCCCAGATATTTGACCTGATTGACTTCAGATTTGGTCAGTATGCTCTTGAGACCTTGGCAGTGAAAAGTTACTCAAAGATCAAAAAGTTATCGAACTATGTATCCGTGGCGTGGCGTCAAAAAAACACCATTCGCCGCAAAACAGGAAGTTGTTGTAACTTGGCCGTACATTGTCAAATCTGCTCCAAATCTCTCGTATGTCATAACATCCTGACCCGGAACACATCTATATGATAATTTAGAATAATAGTAATAGTGCCACCGTGGCGATGCAGTCTTCGCCGTTAACAACGAAGGTCATTTTGAGAGGCTAAAAATGCTCGAAACATAAGCAAACTTGGCAAGCAGATTACAAGCCCGAAATGTAGTTATATAATATGATTTTATTGGTTCAGAGTGGCAAATCGGCTCAATAGCGCCCCCTACAATATTTCGACGAAGCAGCCCTCGCAGTATGTTTCACATAGATTTACAAAATTTGGTAGGCACATGTATCACATGTGGACTTAAAATAAAGTTTCTTGGGACCATGCTCTAAACCCAACCGGAAGTCAGCCATTTTGAATTTTGTATGAATTCCTCGTGTTTTTTTTCCATTTCCAGGTGCTGTACTATGAACTTCTCCTAGGGAATTAATCCGATCAGCTTAGAATTTGGTCAGAACAATCTAAAGACCTTAGCGATTAAAAATTACTAAAAGCTTTAGGTTTCATCGAACAACGTGGATATGGTGTGACGGCCATTTTACATGGTTCGCAATCATTCATCAAGCTGTTGTAACTCGACTGTACTTTTTCAAAACTGTCCCAAACTTGGCATGCTTGTTGACTGTCATGGTTTTAGGACTTCTGCATGCCAATATTAACTCATTGTCATAGCGCCACCTACTGATAAGCACGGACGTAAGCAGGATTCTATAAATACAGCGGCCCAAACACTGACCTTATTGAAAGGGTTTGTGGGCACACCATGAGAAAAAGACTTCTCTGATCTAAATATGTGCATAGTAAGATCCTTGGAGAGCAGAAATTAGATAAAAGTGGTTGTCAAGCCACTGTCAGTGGGCATTAGCATAAATGATCTGTCCAGAGCTTCTACACGAGAATCAGGTTAAACGTTATAATGAATGCTTCACACTACAATCTAAAGTTGCAGAAGAACTTAAAATGAAAACAGTGTTAAATTAAAGTGTTCAAGTAACAGCAAATGGCACTACTATTTTGTTAAATTCCATGTAAGTCCAAATACAATCAGCAGGACACTGCAGGGAGTTGAACCCCATCCCAGGCAACTGACAGTCTGTTATGTTACAAACACTGAAGCGCATTCACACACATTTATTTTCTTAATGATCTTAACAGGCTTACATTCATGATTGTATCGGAGGTACACTCAAAACATTTGAGGCTTAAGACCTGGCAACATGATCTTGCTACGCTGCTGGTTTACACAGGAAATATCATCTAACTCGTACACGTAGTGTATGATGGTCACAGAAATGCATGGCTGCGTCACACAGAGTCCTGCCAGTACCCTCGACATGCGTGAAGTTGCGAGGGCCCGATCAATGCTGCTCGCAGCTTTAATTTTCTTTAAATTTTATTAAAATGTTATTATATTGTTATCTTAATGTATTGTATATATTGAGCATCTTTCATCTTTCATATTTTTATGTTTACTCTGTAACTTTGTTTGCTGCTGCTACAAACAAATTTCCCCCTGGGGATGAATAAAGTATACATCTATCTATCTATCATCTATCAATCTAAATAACTTTTGATGACAGTGTTTCAGCAGCCAAATAGTCCTTATCTGTGTATTTATTACCAAAGTTCCTAGAGATGAATGTGGACTCACTCATGTGTGGCTGCTGGAGGGCACAGCATCCCTACCGGCGGTCTGGAGCTGCAGCAGACTGGGCAGGAGCAGGATTCCTGGCCAGGACAGCAGTGCATGTGGTGGGAGGGGCGGACAGAGCAGCAGTCTGGGGTCCAACATCCTCTCTGCCCCCCCCTCCACTCCAAACAACCTCCAGACCCCAAATCTCCTCCATGTGCTTTTTAACGCCCTGTCCATAGAACAGGAAGCGGCAAGGCGAAGTGAAATCAAAGTGGACGTTGGATTAGCAGCGCGGAGGCTGTTTTTGAGAACTTGTTTCTCATTTGGCCCAGTATCCCCAGTAAAGCAGGAAGATTGCCTGGTGCAGCTGTATCGGCGAGAAGGCTCGGGAGGAGGTGAAACTGCGGGATATGATGACTGAGAAGGAAACGGCGGCAGATAAGATACTAACAGGTAAATAAGCTCGTGTTAACTGGGTTTGTTTGTACTTTTTTTTTCAGCGGTGGTCATCTCCGACAGCAATCATTGCGCGTGCACGTATGCAGTTTGCGATTCGGTGTGGTCGTCTGAGGTACGCGTTCTCGTGCACTTTGGCGATATTTCTGAGGATAGTGAAGGCTGTTGATTCTGAAACGTTGTAGAATGACGGTGTTTATGAAAACGTCTTCCTGACGCCTCCGCCGCTGAGCGGAGGCTGGAGGAGCCATGGAGGCTGGAGGAGCGCTGGCTCGGCGCTCCAAGGGCACCGCAGTGTGTTGGGCCTCGCCTACTGGCGTGCACAGCGCTCCAGGGAAAAAACACAAAAAACATGGCGATATTACAAGTTTATAGCGTGTGTTTCCCTACTGCGAGGCTGAGCACCGTGTTTTCAGATTGTTCTGGAGAACATATTCGATTCGGTTCTTCATAACGTCGCAGAGTTTGGTCACGTGACCCGTCCCACCGGAGTTGTGTGACTCAATGCAGCAAAAAGAAAGTCCGCACCATGCCCTCAGGTAGCGCAGCGTTCAGCACCCGCCCACACTGGTGCGCGGTGCGGCTGGCTGGCCGGGGGTAGCGCTACATGAACGGGTTTGTGAGTCCAACATGTTTGTGTCTGCTCGATGGATGGATGGAAGATAGGTTTGCCCCGATAGCACTTTCTCCTGCCATGTACACACCGTACTGCAATGACTCTATTGGGATACCTCCCATGTTTTGCTGCTCGCTTGTCTGAAAGCATTCACTATAGTAATTCCTAGTCATTATGTAAGATATTTTGCAAGTACTCATACCGTAAAGTTCGGCGGCCATTCGACACACCAAGCAACGTTTATCTTAACAATGTTTCAAATAGGAGGTTTCACTATGATTTCACAGCATAATCCGCTGTGGATGGCGATGGTGAGCAGTGTGCGCCATTCCAACAAAGTATGAATTTTAAATTTGCGCTTTTCTGTAGTTTTGTCATGTATGGCATCATACGAATTCGTATTTTAGAGAACAAGCTTTAAATTAGGCAAAACAAATGGAGTTTCTTTTGAAGTTCTATCCTCTCAGGAGATATTCAGACAAACTTTTGGCCACGCTCCAGTATCATATAATGTGACTGAGGGAGGGCCACAGAGACTGCACCTTGATGGCCTGCTGGGATGAGAGCTGAATACCAGACGTTGTGCATTTCTAACTTGTGGGTTGATGACGTGAACACTGTAAAGAGTGCAGATACCTGCCATGTATTCTGTTGTCATCTTCAGGGACGTTTTCTTACCTGGATGTTATTATCATGTTGTGGCTTCATACATAGTCACGATCTTACATAATCTTACTGCACAGGTGCCATGTGTGTGTGTGTGTGTGTAAAGATAAGTTGCTTGTGTCACCCCACAGCATATAGTCTGAATACATTTGTATGTGACTCAGTGACTTTACACCTTCTTAAGAGTTCAAACTCTGGATGCAATGCCTTTGAGCGAGTGGGATTATTCCCATGAGGCATGAATGCAGCATCACTCTGCTGACCTCTGACTGTAGCCTGTCTCCCCTGCAGTGAAACCAAATGGCCTTAACTTGCAGCAGGATGTTGCAGAATCATGATAAAGGACAACACCCACATGTCATATGCTATGGGGTGTGACACTGAGCTTGACTGATCACATTAGGCTCAGCACCTCCAAAGCCAATATGGCAGAGTTTCCGTGTCTAATTCCTGGTGAGGTCAGCAACTTAATATGTGTTTGTCTTGTATTTTCACAGCAGCACTTGGAGAATAAACGAGGCCCTGTGTTCATGATTTGCTCACATTGATATGCAGAACTAACCCTCTGTGGGCCATGTCAGATTTCAGATAAAGCATATATGATTTTAGATGCCAAATAAAAATAAGTGTTTTTTGGTCCACTTTTCCACGAAGCAAGATGTAGTCTGAAAGTGATCGTAGCTCAAAGTTCAGGTACTTTCAGGGGTTGCTGGCAGTGCTGTCGATAGTCATTGTTGGTCCAGCAGATGTGTCACCACGGAAGAAACAAGGCACGACACACGCACAGTAACCACCATTCACACCTACATCAGTGCAGATCAGGGCAACCAATACTTTAAAGGTCTTCTTTGACGTTTTGTGACATATCTTAATGGATTAGGTTCAAGCGTTGATTCAAAGCTCTGCACATAGTTTTGGGCCACCAACCAGCCCCATCAGTGCCCTTGATTCAGAGCCTGTTGTCTGTCCCACAACCCCTTATGTCACATGCCCACCAAACAGCAAATGAATAGAGTGCTGCAGGAATCAGTCCTAAAACCAGGAAATGAGTCAGCATTTTTGCCCCTCCGGTTCTCTCGTCTCAAAGTCAATGTGTTTTCTGAATGTGTTTTTGGTTAGATGTCTGAAATAAGGTCTGTGGTTAACATAAGCTGAAGAGATTTTAACGTTTTTTTCAACAATATTGAATATGTCAGTAAATACTCTGGTAAATTTAGAAGCTTTTACGTGTCTTAAAAAAGCTAACAAGTGTCTAAATGAGACGAGTAAATGTCATCACGCTGACTAGTCCGTCTTTACAACCTGGTTGTGTATTCATGCTCATGTGACCATTGTGTAGTTCCTTCATAGCCTGACGTTAGCTTTTTACGTCTGGTGATTGTATTCACGCTTTAAAAATCATAAAAGTGGTGTTCATTTGTGAAGATTATCTTGATGAACAAAACCTGTAAATATCATAAATGTTTGTTTATGATATAAACATAAAAAGAGCCTATTTTCTGCAATAATACAAAATCACATGGAAGAATCGTTTGTGGAGGGAACCAGGGCGATGCTAACTTTCTGTTGGAATACAAAAGTACATCACTCCTGTACCACTCTGTACACATAGGAAAAAACTGAGTGGGCCTGGAGTTTTGTTTTTTGTTATCAAATGCTAAAGTGATATTTGATATATTTGAACAGACGGAGATGAAGATCAAGACATTTTGAATAGCTGCCCACACAGGAGTCAGGTCACCTGCTGGTGTGGAGGAGAAAAGGACGGGTCTCAACACTTTCTGCTGTGGTCTCTTGGTAGAAATGATGCTCATGAATTCAGCTGAATAAAATGTTGCGGCTCATGTAGAATTAAAAATGTTTCATTTGTAATGCCAAGGACAGTTGCTCAGTGCTTGTTGCCATGGTAATATAACTTCCACACCTTCCTCATAAATTCATTCATGCTCATAAATGGAGCTGACAGAAAAATAAGACAAAATATTATCACTCATATGACTCATGCCAAAAGACAAACATTATAGATGATCATTTTATGATCATCCATGAGTGGGAGGTCAGAGCTCGATGTGACTCTGCTGAATCATGTCTTCGCCTTTTACTAACTGCATTACTACGATCTGCTTTTTAAACAGCTGTCCAGAATGTCCTAACATTGTGCTTGAGATAACAGCATCCAAGACGGGGAGAGCTTCCAACGCTTGTCTCATTTCATCTCTGCTCTCAGTGCAGTGTGAGGTGTGGCTCTTAGCTGACACAGCATTTTCCCTTTATTCACTAGTCCTTCCCACATTATTGATAGGTTCCTGATGCCTCTGGGACTGCAGTTCAGCAGAGAGCAGTGCAGGGAGTTAACACGGCAAAATGAGATCAGCTGGAACACCTCTCAGCTGATGAGCTAGACCATAAAGAACATTTTGAACATGAGGTTGGCTAATCAAGTGTTTTATTGCGTGTGCTGGTTTCAGCGCTGGGCGACATGACCATCTTCTATCCAGATATAGGTCATTTCATATATTGATACCATTATGTATAACGCTATTTAGCATGTTTTCCTGTACAGCAATAAATAAATAGACTTTATGTAATAACCACATGGTTTGCATACTCTGGTGTGAATGAAATACCTGACAAATGAGAGTATTTTCTTATTAAATTCAAATTTTAAGTGCAAAATTATCAGCTTTCCTGAAAAAATTGAATTACTATGTGCTCGTCTTTATTAATTTAGATGACGTAAATGTGTATCATGACATCTTAATATAGGATTTCATCACGATGCAATTCTATTGAAACACAATAAATCATCATATTGAATTATCGCCCAGCCAAAAATTTCAGATAGGAAATACAGCAGGAAGTGAAGAAGGTTATAGGAGAAGTCAAGGTGGACAGATGTCGGGATCCTCTCTGAACCGTGAGGGCTGGGCAATATGGTATGATATTATATATGTTATAGAATAATATATCGATATTATAAACGATATCTCAATATTTTCAAATTTCTCTCTAAAATATATCATATGTTGTTTATGATCATCCCAGCTGGATCATTCTCGTAAACTCATCTGAATTCAGTCTGTATTTGATATTTTAGAGGGCTTGCATTTAGAATACCACACAGAATGTCCGGATGTTGTCTGAGTGACTCTGAGGTGGTCTGCTCAGTGAAACTGGTCTGTGGAAACAGGAAGATTCTCAATCACTCTCATAAGTGGCTTACTGTTAATTTGAAGTCAGATTGGTCTGAAGCGAGTCTCATCTTGGCACCAAAAAAATGACTATGTGGTTGATGTTTGCGATATAGTCGTTTACTACATCCCAAGTAGAAGAAGCCACGTGTTTACAATGTAACAAGGCACTCTTGGGTTCAGTTTTATGTCCCATCTTTCATTTCATGATAACGTTTTTTAACTTCAAAATGATATGCAAAAGTAGGATCTAAATTACAAATTGCTGAAATTCCAAGCTGAACATTGTGATTTTCACCATAAAAACAAACCCTCACATCACAGGTCAACCTGCGTCCATTTTTTAGTTGCACCTAACATGATGTTGAAGTTGGTTAATCTGTGGCTCCTAGTTCATGTTCATTACAGAAAATGTGTGTTGCTTCAGGTACCAGTGAGAAGATGACCAGTGCGGCTGGTTTGAGTAATAAATCCATGAGGTTGGATACTGCAAAGAGGGTTATTATCCTCAGAGACCGGATTTT